TATATATATATATATATATATATATATATATATATATATATATATATATATATATATATATATATTTTTTAGTAATTTATATTCCTATATAAATTTCTTTAATAATCATAGTATTGTGACCTTTATATGATTCTTTAAAGTCAATCGGACTCCACGTGTTACCCTATGATTTTAAATTATTATTTTCGTTTTCACTAAAATTTGAAGAAATGAAAATATTAGGAACAGCCTTCAATTGCCTTGACCTTGATAAATGTTGTCAAGGTCATGTCCTTGAACAACATTCAAAAGATTTTAGTCGTCGGTCGAACACCTTGGGTACCAATGTTAATGGCAACAATATTGTAACTTTGAAGTCCTTTAACAAAAGATATTTAATGAAGAAATATTTTATCATAGTGTTTTGGAAAAATGGCGGGTTCCATTTAAAAAATTCAAAGTGACCTTTTCCTTGACAACGCCACTCGAGGTCAAATCAATATCATCTTATGTCACCTCCGAAATCCCAAAACTTTTATCTGAAACATTTTTCCCTAAAATGCACTGAAATATTCAAGAGATATTTGAGGTGATCGATTAAAGTAGGACACCCTGTATACGAGTATACAAAGTGACCCACGTAAAGGATTACAAGGTAATAACTCTGAACATATTTGTCCTATCAAAAAGTTGTTTATGAAAAAGTTTCATATATTCGAGGGGCCTTCCTAACTACGTAAATAAAAATCTATTTCCGTTCCCTCTTGAAAAAGGGCGGGGGATAACTTCAAAGTTTCAAATGAAACACCATATACAATATTACATATTATAATATTACATATTTGGATTCTACAGGAAAAAACAAGTCAGCCTTGTCTGAAATATTTCTTTGGAAAATGTTTCTATCAAAAATTATAAACATTTAAACTTATAGCCATTTTATTTATGATGAACTCCATTGACACAAAGTTGTGTTCGCGATACAACGAAAACGATCTTAGAGTATATATTTGATGTTAACCGAAAGAAATAATAAGGTATCAACAATATGGTGCACTTTCTTATATTTCCAGAGCAACGCAGACTCTTTTAAAAAAGGTATTTGCCGACAGGTGGATAGGTGGTATAGGGGGTCCCACTTGAAACTTTGAAGCTCTCCCACTCTTCAAAGGGGGACAGATGTTGTTTACGTTTTTTGTTTACGTAGTTAAAAAGGTCCCTCGAATATATCAAACTTTCTCATGAACAACTTTTTGATAGGACAAATATGTTTAGAGTTACTACATTAATACTTTACGTGGGCCACCCTGTATTAAGAATATTAAGAATATCACTAGAGTTACTTGGAAATATTTTAGCGTAAAATTCTACAACACGCGAAAGAGATTAAATTATTAGAAAGTTACATTGTATGTAACATCTCTTTTTTATTCCTGTCGTAAAATTTCTTCGTTACAAAGTTAACCCTTGTATCAAAGTTCAAGTCTACAATAGAAACAATGTAGTGTAGCAGCGAAATATTACTTCTAATATTTTTATTTTTTTCCTTAATTTTATACTATTTATGTTAGTGTATATATATGAAGAATAACACACACACATATTTTACGTGCCTTTAACTTCTAATGTAAATTTTAACATTCGATTGATGACTTCTTGAGAGTCCAGAATTTGTGTGGAATATTAAACTTTACTATTTTAGTTTATCTTATTTCTTTCATTATATATATATATATATATATATATATATATATATTTTACGATATCTCATAATTAAAGTTACATCGTTTCAATATGGATAGAAAAAATCTGACGAAGCTACGTTCTGTTATCATGAAAACTAGATAAAAATACGGATAAAATACTTTTTACACGCAAGGAAAACCGGCCTCACAGATTGCTTTATAAACTTTGTAGCTTTTAACTTTTCTGACTCACGCAACAGTAGAGGTTTGTTGCGCGCAAGCGCATTGTATTTGCAAGTTTACCTTCTCGTAGACTTTTACTTCAACCATCAGTACTGTTTTCACTCGCGTCTCAGTCTCACGCATCTTGTACAACGTAACGCGATACAATCAAATTTGAGAAAAAGATAATTCCTGCAAACGAAGTTGCGAAGAGATCTTTAAAATGTGCGAAGTGTCACGTAACGAACATTACCAACGCGATGTTAAGGACATTCTACGTTTCAACCGCAACTTGTTATCCGCACTCGGTGTTTGGCCAAAGTTTGACGGAAAACGGTCGATTTGCGAGAAAATTGGCAAATTTTTGCGAATCTCCATTTCCTATATTCTACTTTATTGCGCTCTCGTACCAGGTGCACTTTATTGGATATTCGAGAAGAAATTTCGCGCCCGACTTCGGGTGACTCCAATTATGCTTTACGGTATCATGACTCTCATCAAATATTACAATTTAATTGTCAATGAGGTTCAGATCAAGCGCTGTTTGAAATATTTCGAAGAGGATTGGAAAAACGTCGACAGCACGAAGAAGCGAGACACAATGCTCGAATCTGCGAGAACCGGAAAACGTTTGGTCACAATTTGCGCAGTCTTTTTGTATAGCAGTGGACTTTCGTTTCGAACATTGATGCCCTTGTCTAAAGGGAAGATTATCACTCCACAAAACACTACGATCAGACCTTTACCTTATCCAACTTATCTTTTTTCATTCGATGTACAATCCAGTCCGACCTACGAAATGGTGTTTGCGTTGCATTGTTTGTCCGGGGTAGTCACTATATCGATCGCGACAAGTATATATGGCCTCATCATCGTCTTCGTAATGCATACTTGCGGCCAGCTGAAAGTTTTGATGGATCTGATAAAGAGCCTTGTCGAAAAACAACAACGAGATGAGCTAAAAGTAAACAAGAAACTAGGTGTTATTGTCAACCATCAAACACGAATACGTAGGTAAGTGTGTGATCGTTAGATCTTGTTTCTCTTCTGTTCCTTTTTTACGTGTGACTGTTGCGGCTATATCACACCATGATAAATAATATATTTCAGCTTTTTGCAATTGGTAGAAAGCACTCTTCAGCAGATTTGTTTTATAGAAATAACAGGGGCCACAGTAATAATTTGCATTCTAAGCTACTGTATATTAATGGTTTGTAATTTGATTCATTTTAATTCAGTCAATATTAAAGATAATATTTAGAATTAAGGATAATATATTAAATAGTTTAGAATTACGGAAAGTATTTAGAAAAATTAAATTATAATAAATTGTTAAAAATTTAATTTGTGAGTTTATCAGTATATCAATATAATATAAAAGTGCTTTCCACACAGTAGAGGTGTCCAAAATATATCATAAGGATATCCTAAAGATATATTTGGAATATGTGATATCTTCAAGATATCCCTATCCTTGATGTACTTGAAATATTCCTGCTGTGTGGGTTATTTTATATTTTTATAATAATATATATTATAATATTATATATTATTACATATATAGTTATTATAAATAACGTTAAAAAATATATTATGATATAAAGCTGTTACATAAATATTTTTTTATAGGAATGGGAAAATAGTAATTCATTAGCAATGTGCTCTTACTTTATTTCGCTTACAGCTATGATAATAAATATGTTCTTATTCTGTTATACAGGCGAACAGCTTATCACACAGGTATATTTCTGCATAGTTAAAGTTGTGTAGTTGTTTTATACAATTTCTTTCTTTGATTACATGCAATTATAGTATACATGCAATTATATCTTTTTGTGCTTCAAAAATTTGAACGTTCGATATACACACGATTTAGTACACCTAGGACCGCTTGTCTAAAATGTTTTGTTGCAAAAGCTCACAAATTACAGTTTTCTATTTATAATAATAGGCGGAGAAGGTGGCAGTCACATCTTGTGAACTCGAGTGGTATCGTCTTCCCGATAAAAAGGCTCGCGGAATCGTCTTAGTGATGATTATATCTAATATGCCAATGAGAATCACTGCTGGCAAACTCATCGTTCTGTCGTTCAAAACATTTGGTGATGTAAGGGAATAAATTCGGGTGTAAATATAGTAGCTTATTTGTTCGCAAAAGTGAACGTTTTTGGTCATGGAGTAAATCGAGAAAAAAAGAGTTATTTTACACACACACACACACGCGCGCGCGCGCGCGCACGCACACACACGCACACACACACACACACACACACACACACACACATATATATATATATATATATATATATATATATATATATATATATATATATATATATACAGGGTGTTCCCAAAAGGTGGTACCAAATTTTAGAGGTATGTAGTACTCGTTAAAACAAATCAAAAAGTCTTAATAAACAGTACTCCGAAAACCTTTTATTTCTGAGTTATGAAGCATTTTCTTCTATAAAAAACAGAAAATAACTAAAATTTACAACAAATGTTCAATATACCTTCCGTCTATTTCACACACATTTCCAACACACAATTCGGCACGTCTCTTCATCGATTCTTCGACAAGATATTCCAGGATTTTCTTCAATTGTGCGTAAAATGTTTTCCTCAAATGCAGGAGTTCTAACAAGTCGCGGTCTACCGCAGTCAACTAAATTTGGTTTGAACTGTCTCACGTAACGAACTGTCAACGTTGATGAATTTTGCTAAACATTCTTCTACTTGGCTGTCGGCGATTCGGATAAGCTGCATGATACAAGCGTATTGCTTTTGAAGCATTGCCCTTTGCTCTGCCATACATAAAATGAATATCCGTCATTTCAGAATTTGTGTAAAAATTAGCTATTTGTTAGATAACACAAAACTGGACACGGTCCATAATCCAAAGTTGAACATAACAATCCCTGCGTAATTAGATGGTCACATACGGGCGTCCGTGAATGAACTAAGAGACTTGGAAATTGTTGTCAACAAATACGAAATAAACCTGGACTCTTTGACCTTCAATGACGAAACATGCCGAAATGTGTATTGACATGAGCCAAAGGCATATTGAACATTTATTGTAGGTTTAATTTATTTTCTATTTTTCACAGAAAATAATGCTTCATAACTCAGAAATAAAAGGTTTTCGGAATACTGTTCATTAAGACTTTTTGGTTTGTTTTAACGAGTACTACATACCCCTAAAATTTGGTACTATCTTTTGGAAACACCCTGTGTGTGTGTGTGTGTGTGTGTGTGTGTGTGTGTGTGTGTGTGTGTGTGTGTGTATACACAAGGTGTTCCGCATAAAACGTGCCAAAAGAAAAATATAAATAGAACAAATAAAAATGAACAAAAATTGTAGAGGTCATTTTTCAAAAAATCACGTAAAATTTCGAGATATTAATTAAAATACTTGAACATATCAGAACGCGGCGACGCGGCAGGAGAGATACGGATTGCCGCGACCGGCGAAAAAAAATGGAAGATTGCTCGCGGGCCTATCTTATAGACCAGATAGGTGGGTTGTTTGGACGTATATGCGTACGTGTATGTGTACTTTGATCCATTTTCTTCGCTGGCCACGGCGAGCCTGTCTCGTCGCGCGCTCTAATTTGTCCAATTTTTATTGATATCTCGAAATTTTAGTTTGAAAAATGACCTCTACAATTTTTGTTCACTTTTATCTGAGCTACTTATATTTTTCTCTTGGCACGTCTTACGCGGGACACCCTGTATATACATTTGTTGCTTCTGTAACTATTATAATTTTAAATGTAAAATGAACTTCTTTAAAAATAAATTATTTATATACATAATGTCAAATTAATCTGACTAATGCGATATTATTTTATTTTTGAAACGTAAATTATAGATTATGTATAATGAATTATAATTTCTTTTTCAGATATATCATTAATGGTCAAGTTGATAATTTGAGATATCTTTTATTTTTTTTAGATTCTTAAAACAGCTGCTGCATATTTTAATATGCTTCGAAGTGTAATCAGTTGAATGTGCTTCTGTAATTGAGAGTATAATGGGAAAATGAGAATGTGAAAGACATACGGAAAATTAAGGGTGGAAATACTATATTAATCAATCATCTAGCCATCAAAACGTATGTGACATTTGAAAATTGCCAGCCAAAATGAACTTTTCACGAAATAAGCGAAAAATTCAATCACTATTTAAAAATATCTGTAGTTGATATTAAATTTAATATTGGATTCATATTTGTAGAGAATTCATATTTATAGAGAATATTACTAGAGTTACTTGGTAATATTTCAGCATAAATCCCTACTATATATGGAAGAAATTAAATTGCTTGAAAGTTACTTTAAATGTATAAGATCTGTTTTAGACTTTTACTCCTGTTGTAGAACTTCTTCTCTGCTGGAAAGTTAACCCTTGAATGATAGATGAAATTTAAAATAGGAATAATATAGGATAGTAATTGAAACATTATTTATAAATCACTTGATACTTTCAAAATTTTTTATCTTTTCCTTAATTTTGTACCACTTATGTCAGTGTATACGTATAAAGAATTACACACATATATTTTACATACGTACCTTTAACTTCTAATGTGAATTTTAATTTTCGATTGATGACTTCTCGAGAGTCCAGAATTTTTGTAGAATATCAACGTATAATATTTTTCTCACTATTTTACGATTTCATGTTTAAAATTACGTTGTTTCAATGGCTATAGAAGCTAAGTTCGATGGAGTCACTTTCTGATGTCGTGAAAGGTAGCGGATAAAAATATTTTCTAGACGCAAGCAAAATCGATCTCACAAAAGCCAGTAGCTTTACAAACTTTGTTACTTTTAACTTCTCTGACTCACGCAACATTAGAGATTTGATGCGCGCAAGCGCATTATAATGGCAAGTTTATCTTATTGCGGACTTTTACTTCAACGATCAGTTCTGATTTGACTTGCGGCTCACCCGCTTGCAGCTGGAACAACATTCTTCGGTACGATCTAACGTTAGAAAAAAGTAGTTTTCATAGCAGGGTCGCAAAGTGATCTTCACAATGTGCGAGGTGCCACACAACAACCATTACCAGAACGACATTAAGATTAGTTTGGAACTAACTCGCTACTTTTTATCCTTAATCGGTGTTTGGCCAAATTTTGATGGAAAAACGTCTGCTTGTAAGAAAATTAAAAAGTTCCTGCGAATTTCTCTCTTACACTCTCTTCTTTATTTCGCTCTGGTGCCCGGCATGTTTTATTGGATATATGAAAAGAGAACTCGCGTTCGACTTCGTTTGATTCCGCTTATGCTCTATGGTCTCATGAGTTTAATCAAATATTATGTTTTGATAAATCATGAAGATCAAATCAGCCGCTGTGTAAAGTTCCTCGAAGAGGATTGGAAAAAGGTCGACAACGCGGGCGCAAGGAACACCATGTTAAAATTTGCGAAGATGGGAAAGCGTTTGACTACGATTAGTGCAATCTTTTTATACAGCAGTGGACTTGTGTTTCGAACGTTGATACCCTTGTCCAGAGGGAAAATCGTAACCCCACAAAACATTACGATCAGACCTTTACCCTATCCAACTTATTTCTTTTATTTCGATGATCAATGCAATCTGATCTACTATGGGTTGGTATATGCATTGCATTGTGTGTCCGGGATAATCACTATGTCGATCGCGACAAGTATATATGGTCTCATCATCGTCTTCGTAATGCATGCTTGCGGCCAGCTGAAAATTTTAGTAAATTTGCTAAAAGATCTCGTTGAAAAGGAAAAACAAGACGGATTTGAGGTGAATAAAAAACTAGGTATTGTTGTAGAGCATCAAGTGCGAATACGCAGGTGTGTTTATAATTATTTAGATCATGCTTTACTTATTTATTTTTATGTGCAACTGTCATGACAACATCACGTTATCAATAAATTCCTTTTAGCTTTCTGCAGCTGGTGGAGGGTACTCTTCATGTTATGATTTTTATGGAGATATTAGGGATGAGAATAACAATTTGTGTTATGAGCTACTGCATAATAATGGTGTGTAATTTTATTCATTTTAATATCGTTAGCACTAATGTATCACAAAGTAAATCACAATGAATACTCAACAAGAATTTATCGGCGAATTCATTACAGTAGTTGTTACACCTAATATAGAAATGTTACATGAATTTTTTTATAGGAATGGCAAGATAGTAATTCAGTAGCAATGGGCTCTTATATTGTTTCGCTTGCAGCTATGATAATAAATATGTTTCTGTTCTGTTATACGGGCGAACAGCTTATCACACAGGTATAATTTTGCATAGTTAAAGTTGTGTAGTTGTCTTATACAATTTTTTAATTACATGCAATTACAGTATACATGCAATTACATCTTTATGTGCTTCATAAATTTGCACGCCCGACATACACACGTCTTAGTACGCCTAGGACGCCTTGTCTAAGATGTCTTGTTGTAAAGGCTCGCAAATTTCAGTTTTCTATTCATAATAACAGGCGGAGAAGGTAGCAGTCACATCTTGTGAACTCGAGTGGTATCGTCTTCCCGATACGAAGGCTCGCGGAATCGTCTTAGTGATGATTATATCTAACATGCCAATAAGAATCACTGCTGGCACACAAATCGTCCTGTCATTCTCAACATTTAGTGATGTAAGGGAATAAATTCGAGTGTAAATATAGTAGCTTATTTATCCGCAATAGTGAACGTTTTTCGTCATGGCGTAAATTGAGAGAAAAGTGTTATTTTATATATATATATATATATATATATATATATATATATATATATATATAT